CCCAGTATGTTGTATTTTGTGACAAACCTCATTAAACTAAACTAAACTAAACTAAAAATGCATACACAATAAAACACATAAAAATTTGTATTCAAGGAGAACATCAGTCGTACTAGCCTCTCACACATGCGTTCTTAAGTCTCGTCATGAAAATTCGTGGCAAGAGAATTTTCGTGAAAGACTAAGAATGCCTGTGAGAGAGGATACAGTCATACTAGCCAAAAATGCTTATAAAACTGAACAATTTAAACTGAAAATTTTATCAAATTTTTGATCTAATTCTTTGGTTTTTTAGGTTTATACTATCTTGGTTTTGCTGCTTGTCTTTTCCTGTTATACACAATGATGCCAATAGCCCTGCAGAGAAGCAGTGCAATGGTGGTTAACTTGTCTCTACTGACAGCAGACTTTTTTACATTATTGGTTGGTCTGTTTGTCTTTAATTACAAGGTAAAAGACYTTTCCCAAATAAGCAAAAGCTGCTCACTATATTTATTTTATTCTCCCCAATCCATCGCCTGATTTTTTAACTGTAGGAGACTGGGAAGAGTTCTCTAATTGGATAATGCTACATAGAACAAAAGGCCACAAATCTTGAAATAGCCGACTTTAGAGATTTTGGTTCAGTGACCATTCACAAAAGAATTGCAGGCGAGGCTCCGGGGAAATAAAAGAATAAATCAAGATTATCCATTGTTTTCCTGGAGCCTCGTGTGAGTTCTTTTATACATAGTCATCGAACCAAAATATCTAAAGTTGACTATTGGGTTTTTATCAACTCAGTAGTGAATGTTACACAGTCTTAATTCTTGATGTGGTCTGTTCTTCTAGCAAAATGTACCATCTCTGATCTCTGGCAGTTTGAAATCTGRCAATAAATTGATGTCATCATAATATGCCGTTAGTCATGAGCTGTTTTTTAAATCTTTTTCAGTTYTCAKTACTTTACTTTGTTGCATTTGCATTGGTGGTCCTGGGTCTTATAATATACAATAGCAAACCTGTCCCCACTCTACCCCCCACTAGTCAAGATTATGACCGGCTGGAAAGTGAAAGCCAAGCAGAATTGGGAWTGTGTTGTCAACAGTCCTCTACAGAAGAGTAGTTAAGGTAGCAATTCTAGGACTCATAACAATAGCAAACCTGTGCCCAGCTTACCAAACACTAGTCAATCATGTACACGACTTTCAACAATGGCAGTCGTTCACGACCGTTAATATCAGGGACTAGTGACGAATCATTGAAACAAGACCTCAAAGGCCTTCCATCTAAAAACACTACGAAGATCACATCTAGTTAGTGTCCAAATGTTTAAAAGATGTATTATAGTGTTTTTTTGACAAAACAATCTTGCAAGACACCATCGAAGTTTACTATATACAGAGGCTGGCCTTCGAGACTCGTTTTAGTGCTTCGTCCCCAGTGCCCTGATCGGGAACTGTGACAAATCGCACCATTTTTGAATGACCACATTGAAAAGGAAACACTGAACTGTAAGTTAGCATTCTTGTAAGTTTTATTATACGATATCAAGGCAGTACAAATGGGAAGACTGCAGTTAGATATATCGATAGTTTATTACAGTTTTAAAAACTGCACTTGTATCTAATCCATGGCTACAGCATTATGGACAATAAGTGGTGTTGGTATAGTTGAGTTTCGCGATCTCCTTTATGCTGTGTTAGCCTCAATTGTGTGCAAAATATCCAGAAATCTAAATAAAACTYGTCAAATTTCAAACTATTTCCATTGTCTTCAATCTATACTCACAGAACTCTTGCATTTGCATGGGCTGTTAGTGAACAAAAGAATTTATTACATGGTTTTGAGGCGAACACAATGTAAAAGAGATCGCTAAAAGGGTTTATTGATTCCAAAGAAAGCAATCACAGTCTCAACATGAACGTACAATAATTATAGTATAATTATAACATAGTCGTACATACACTTTGCTCTGCGGACACTAAGTTTGATGCTAGTTTCCATCAAAAAAATTGCTCTAAGTTGATCCTTTTCTCGTGTTCTTAATGTCTTCCACTGTGTTGTGGCATAGAATTGCAATTATTATTGCATAATTAAGGTATCCAAAGAAGGATTAAATTCTGTAGCTGTAATCTCCTTCACGGTCAACTCTGGCATTGTGTATTATTCTGCCTCAGTTTATTATCTTCTAAGGTATGGGCGCAACTCCGACTGAACTTTTTATTCTGGTACGGAGTGTGAGGCAGGATAATGTGTGGCACAAATCAACCGACTCATTGGATGGGTTCTAAGTTTTTCGTTCAAGCTTTTTGTGCAAGTGAAGCTTTCTAATTTGTCTTTCTATTTTACATACTACGCTTGACCAATGGTTGTTCATGCTATGTCCCATGGGGACATTAACCCATAAAGAATGCAGAATATATTATTATTTTAATTATTAATTTTATTTTTTAACTATACATAAAATGCTAATGACTTTGCATATTCAAAGCTATTCCTCTGCATCGAGAGAGACAAGCATTCAGAATGCAATAGAGTACTAAAGTGTGACGTCACAGAAATACCGTAGTTTTTTTCGAATTGTTCGGATTTGTTGACATATCCTTAAATCGCATGGAAAAAAGTAGCTATCTTCCAAATTTCAGTGTTCTAGTGCCATTTATTGCAGAGATACAAGCGGTTTTATGGTCGGATGACCACATACAAACGCTTGTAAATTTGGTCCTTTCGTTATGAACAAGACCAAATTTACAAGCGTTTGTATGTGGTCACCCGACCATAAAATCGCTTGTATCTCCGCTACAAATGTCTGACACTAAGACACTCATATTTAGCAAGGATGCATTAAAAATGATGAACTTTCAGAATATGGAGGGCAAATTTCAAAACTCAAACATTTTCGTTTTGTGACTTCATCTCTTTAGTACTCYATGATAGAGAACTGTGAAGAATTGTCTACAGTTGCACGCTCAACTGTGGTCCTCTTACCATTATTCTATCATCTTGCTACAAAAATACTTTTTCAATATTGATGTGCATTATGTCTGAGATTTTTTCCATATTTCATAAAATACCCACCTAAATTATGTTAAGGAATAACCACAAGAACTCAATGCGTGAAAAAATACTACCCAAATCTTTCTAAATAGCACAATATATAATTATATAAAATTTTTGATATATAATGCACATTTTGATTGGCTGACGACCGTGTTTATATCAAAGGACAGAGACACGGCTTACCGGCAAAATTTGCTTTTCGCTCGAAAAATTTTATAAAAGAAATATAAACTGGCCGCTTGTGTCTCTGTCCTCTGATATAAACACGGTGGGAGTTGAAAAGCACTCCAGAAGCAAGAAAAAGACTTGTGTTTCTAAGCTTCCTTCTCTCTTTTCAACTCCCACCGAGATTATATCCGTTGACAYAGATGTGAGCCATTTTATATTTCTTAAATATGAAACAGCAACCTTTATAAAAACAACCACCACCACAAGCAATAACAATGACAACTGAAACAACAGCAAAAAAAGGATACATTTCCAGATAAGAAGGTACGCACACCGTATACTTTTYAAACTCCACTGGACATGCTAGTTTGCCAAGTTGATCTTCGTACATTTGTAGAGCACCTTTGCAGTTAGCACCATTGCCCTGAAAAGGTTTTCATGGTTTTAGTTTGCATTCTAACTGACTTTTTTAGGTTGATAATATTTACCTGAGTGAAGTATTTTCCAGTTGGTGATAATACTTTCATTGACAAATCAAGAATATGTCTCAAAAAGTCCCACATTGATCCTAAAAGCAACAAAAWTGTAAGCRATGATAACTGTAGACTTGAAATATGCTTGRACAAAGCAAAAATGGCAGCAAAGGACAGAGATGTCTGTCGGGGGAGTGTGAAGGCTTTGTGCGCCTATTAGCATGACGASTCAAGATTAAGAGCTTTATCTTTKAACTCTGATATGAGACATAATTAATGATAATTAATAATTAATAACCTTTTGGCTCAGTTGTGATAGGAATGGCTGTGAGGTCGTTAATGACGTAGTCAAATGTGATACCCTTTTTGATGTATTCATTCATGACTTTAACACAATCGTCAATAATCACCTAAAGACATAAAATATCAATTAGTATGTATTAAGTATTTCAGTATTTTGTCTTAAAATTACCACAAAAAAATTACTTAATAAACATTAGCAAAAATTATACTGTCCATTACCTCATAATTTGCACCTTTTAGTGAGTCTAAAGCATCCCCACAGATCCCCCGTAAGTGCTTCTTTGCATGATTYACCACAATGCTGTCAATGTGACTTAGTTAAGTTCAAACGATTCATATTTACATAATAAATTTTGCCCCTCTCGCCAGTGGTCCTTTCCCTTACTCCACACCTACTTTTGATGAACTATGCAAATTCAATTCTCTCATTTTATTTCTTAACCACTGCTTCAAAACTTTCTTGCCTTAAACTCATGATATTTACTGTCAATAGAAGTTCTAAAGGATATTTCTACCATTGTGACATGTTTGGGGGCCTGTTTGAGTAGCTCATTCAGTATTCCGCCATCACCTCCACCAAGAATTAGGACTGTTTTCTCACTGTAGTCTTCATTATCTTGACCTGTTATTGCTTTTGTGTACGTCAGGTCACTCTCTGCCAAATCTGCCAAAGTATTAAAAAGAATTACGGTAATTTCGCCCCCAATCTTTCCAGGTAAACTCGCCCCTGTATTAGGTAACTTCGCCCCCGTATCAGGTATCTTCGCCCCAAATCAATATATATGCTATGCATCGTTTTAGTTATTTCATATTTTTGGGTATACGAATAAATAAGATTTCTTTATTAATTTGTGCTTTAAAGGATCATTGACTTTTGCATTATGTGTGGCTCCTAAAGGAGCCGTTTGTTTGTGTATTTGATCATTGACTTTTGCAATAGTTTTTCCTCATAATCGTTACAATCGCTACTAGGATCGCGTGGCAATTCTAGCGATTGTAACGATTATATGGAAACCAAGAGACCATCTCCTGTAAGCAACCACCTTATAAATTTCCCGTTTTGTTTCCCATATAAACTATGTTGAAAAACTCTTGTAGACCACCACTCTTGTAGGCGACTGCGACCACCTTTGGGATTGAAATTGTAGAATTTTTCATTGTTTTTCCTCTCCTGTTTTCGACCACCCACGACTGACCCAATAAAGGCGTGTGTTTAATTTACTAACAAAGCTTACACAAATTACATTTCCGGTTACTTTAATAGAGTACAAACCGTAAAAGCGTACTATTTAGTATCAAATACACTATAGTGTTAGTTATACCATAGAAAACAATAGAATTAGGACAGTAAAATCAACTTCAAGAATTTGAGGAATGGCATGGAAGCAGTATAATTGTTCAAAGATTTTATTCTTTAAATATCAATGTGTTTTGAACTATTTGGGCCTCCTGTGTTGTGATTATCATTGTTTGGGTTTCCTGTGCTATTGTTATTGTAAGCGACCACTTTTTCCTGATCCCGAGGTGGTCGCTTACGAGAGAGTTGACTGTAATTATCCAGTTTCAAATCCACTGATGAGTGCACTCAAGTAGATAGAGTCTTCAGATAGAGTCTTCAGTGAAAATCCAATAAAAATGTAAAGAAATATACATACTGATATCATTGTCAAGTATTAAAATGTTTCCATAACTTTGGGAGTGATAAATCTTGATATTTTGAAATTCAGAGTCTTCATCAACCACCACCCTAGAAAAAAACATTGTTCATTCCTCTGCCTCTCCATTTATCCATTCTGTCATTTATCCATTCATTATTTCATTACTCTAATGATTAATTTATTAATCCCTATGAATAGCTATCAATCCAACTACTTCCATCATACGAGTATTTCTTCACCTACCCTATCTCTACAAATGCACGTTGTCTCTAGATATTGGGAGAAGTCATTGCCAAGATTCCTTAAACTTGACAGTAGCTACTAGAGCRGATTTCGTATGAGTGGGACACCGTTACCGCATGGTTACCGCACTGTTACCACACCTGGCCTGCAGAATTTTGGTGAACCAATGGGGCACTAGAATTTGGTTACAGTACGATTACGGACACAATACAGTACCGTCCGTTTCACACTCACACGAAATCCGCTCTAATTGTTGTATCAGACTCACTATCACAAGCATTACATTGAGCACACAACACTCCTTACAGTTAKGGAGAAAACCCTTGGAGAATAGAAGAGAACCAGCCTTAAACTCAAATGAGGTCATCCCAGACCAGGAATCGGACTGGGACCACAGTGGTAATAGGCATCCGTTATCTATGCATAACTTCATATAATTATCCCTCCATCCATTTCTCTCATTCAGATATCCCTATATTAATGCATTCATTTATCCAATTTTTATTTATCCATTTATTTTCTCGTTCATTCACTATTCATTCATCCAAAGCCCACCTGTCAATATCATACTCCATAATTCTGTTGTCCGCTGTGATAAGGTAAGGGTCATAYGGGCCATYRCGGGTAATAGCTGGAAGATTTTTGGATTGTTTACACAATAATTTATCCTTCAGTTCSYTTTCTAAACTCTTCACATTCTAGTSAGAARAATATTCAGATTATAAAATTAGTGTTGGCTAAATACAAATTAGGCATTAAGTTCAACTTATAATGGATGGTGTCTCTGGGTGGGGTTGTTCAAAGCCTGATTTGCGTTAATCCGGGGTTAACTCCATAGGTTTTTTAAGATTTAACCCAGGATTAGCGCTTATCCAGCTTTGAATAATCCGGCACTGTGGATGTCAGGAGGCAGTTCCAAACGAGCCTCCTCCACAGATATCTCTTTCCCTAAGGATGTCTGGGGACAGAGGAGGCTTCAATCTTATTTTATACTTGTCAGCAGTTAATTGGTGTGCAGGGAGCCTCAATCTCGTACCCAGAGCCCACACTTTTGCCATCCAGCAGATGTCAATCTGTGAGAGACTCTGGAGGAATCAATTTTTTCTCACTTTCTGATTGGTTGAAAATGGCGCAAGCGTGCATTGTTCTGAAGTCTGTTTTTCAAGTCGCCAGCGCGCACTCGCCTGTTTAGTCATTTTAATGCTCTAAAAGCAGAAAACAAAACTGATCTCATTTGCATATCCAGCCGATTCCTCCATGCCAGAGTCTTTGCGGCGTCAGCAGCGGTATGCATACCGCTGACATTAGCCGTGAAGACTCTGGGCTCGAGATTGGAGTCTTTCCGGCGTCAGCATACCGCTGACATTAGCCGTGAAGACTCTGGGCTCGAGATTGAGGGAGCCTTGAACTGTGCATAGCTGCATCTACATCTAAACAAGTACCATAGTTACCTCTCGTGACAGGCTAACTCCCCCATTACTGTCCTCGATTTGTGTGATGTCAAGTGAAACCAGACCTGTGCTGAAACTCCTTAGCGTCCAGTGCCTTTTTTGTGTAAATAYATATTGACAGTTAGAGTRACATKAGTGCAAAATGGCTGCTTTGAAATTCAACATTCGTAATTCAGATTATTGTTGTCATAACACCTAAATGTGTTCTGATTTAACAAAATAGCAAATCGTAATGCACGCATTCACGAGGTCATATTCAAGACTGAAAGAAAAAGCAACTGGAAACCGGTCGCTTGATCATATCCACATCATGTGCAAGACATACCCTCCGTCAGCCCCTAAAAATACAAACAAATGACCAGTTTCAGCGCCAAGGTGCTTTGAAATTAAAGGCCCTTCCACGTTGTAGTTCTTAAGTACATCAAATACGTGATTACGGTCTTTATCTGTGGAAAAATCCACCGAACAACTGTAGAAATCCAGCAAACTTTGTTTCASTGCCATCTTGAGAAAATGCAGCTAGGGACGGACAGCGCACCGACCAAACCAAAAATTTGGCCTGCTAAAGTCTAATGCACGTGGGCTCGATAGAGCTTCGGCTTTCGTTCGGAAATTTGGGAGCAAATGTCAAAGCTCTATTACTCGTTATTTGCGTCGATTTATTAAAAGTAAAACAATCTTGCCATTTAAAGGCACCGTTTTTATCTGCTTTCGAACTTTAGAATTTCTGATGTCATTTTTCATAGTATCATTTTTGTCGGAAAAGCATCGACATATTCGGAAGATCTTCGGCTCGAATCACCCAGTCCGCCGAAATGAGTTTATTTGTTGACCTGAAACTTGTGCAACGTGTGTAGCGTGTATTCTATGATTGTTCAAAATGCTTGATATCTTGACCGATATGAAGTCAAAAACCCCCAAGAAATTCAAAGAAGAAAGACAAGAGAATGAAGAATTTGATGGTAACCAAAATAATTCCATTTTAGTGAATGGAGCTCTAGAAGAGGCAGTTTTAGCCGAAGAGAAACCGCGCGCTAAAGTCCCTCGTGTGGAACAACAACACTCCGATTATGGCTCTCAGCTGAGAATTATCAAAATKAACGGTCAAGTTAGAGAGCTACAAACTATCTTACGGGACAGGTAATTGTATTTATTATTTTTACTTGTATATTAAAATGTTTTTTTATCGCCTCACTTTCGAGATCTCGACGACCTCAAAGTAGTCACTTGTGCTTCGCTCTCATTCATTCAAAATCCTCAAAATATTATCCTTTTTGTGCAAAGATTATGCTATCTTTGTACAAAGTAAAGCTATGGTGTTTATATTTACCAATTGTATTAACTTAAAAGCTAAATATTAATGTTTTTGGATTAATATTTGAGGCCGAATATTTGACATTAGCTTTGTTATTATCGAATGGAACGTACTTAACTTAGCTTTTAGAAAGTGTATACATTTGAAATTTTTATCCGTGAATGTAAACTTTGTTATTATTTTCACATCTTGTTAGATAATTTTAGCGATTGTGAAATATGGATTCTTTTTTATTGTTTTAATGGAAATTGCATGTTATTTTTATGTAGTTTTATGTTATCCGATATGTCAATAAATTGATGACATTACCATAATTTGCAAAATGTTTGTATCAAAATCACCATGTTTTCTACATATTTCCCTTTGTTTGTCTTTAGGTCAACCAGCAGAAGTGACTTTATGTTTTATGCTGATAGATTAGTAAGTAGGGGTAATACCGTATGGACAGGGCTAAGCTCAGTCAATAAGAACTCCATCATGTGATAATCTTTTTGGATGTTTTTCAAAGGTTAATATTGCACCTGGGTAATGGACTTGGGCCAAT